AAAAAAGCCAAAGAAAGATTCACTCACAAGGATGGGGAGTAACAAGGGGGCAAAGGTCCCATAGATGACCGATTAATCTTGCTAATTAACCCCGCCATGTCCTAAAACACGTAACCAGCTCTTAAGGATCACAATGAGCTTAAAAGTTAAATAAGAAATGTTAAAAATTATAAAAAACAAGACATAGGGTCGAAAGCAGAAAATGTCATGGCATAAAGTCATCGTTTTCATTTTTCATGCCTATTTACTACAATTTGGCAGATAAAAAATCTGGAAAGCATAAAGACAATAGATGCAATTAAGCTAAACAAAAGGATTGAATTCTTACAAAAGCCTTGAATGCAGGTCGGTGAGCAGCCATTTCGTACATACAGCATCCTGATTGAAAATGAAACATTATATTATTAATTGTCCTAATTCTACTGATCAAAGAACAGAATAATGGACATGGACATACATACCTAGAGACCATATATCAGACTTAAATCCATAAGGAATATCAGCAAGAAGTTCGGGACACATGTAATTAGGAGTTCCAACTACCTGTACAAAACAAGAAGATGGCCAGTTAGATTTTGGATCTTGTATATTTGCAATATAATGCAAAAATAAATGTCATTTTGACCGACATCCCCATTTGTTAATTTATCTCTTGAAAACTTTAAATAAATCACATCAATTTTTGCAACCTTGGGTGAAATAAGATTGAAGCAAGCAATTTTAGTTACATAGCAATTATATATTCTCTCTATTTGAGTTTATACATTCCAGTACTTTTAGGCTCGATTAAAGCACTTATGCAACACCAGCTATCGACTTTTTGAATTGTTTTGAACATAAGCTAATGAAAGTAACCATTCTCCCAGGCTCTACCCGCATGCTTCGAAATCTTTCAGCCAAAAGAAATATTCTGACTAATTTTTTAACTCCATCAAAATGAATTGAGGACTCATTACTAAGATTTGCTTTGCTTGTTGACCCAATTTACACTGCATATTCCAAAAATTTAATACTCCCATGAGTACAATTGATAATTAAGTAATTTCTATCCTCTCTTTCTCTCTCTCTCTCTCTCTTTTATTTTTTTTTTTAAAAAAAAAATTCACATATATATTTTTCTCCATTCCTTTCACTATATAAAACTAATTAGCTTCACAAGATAAAAAGAAATGGATTTTATGCATATCAAGCACATACCGAAGAAGCCAAATCATCTGCCTTCAAAGTTTTAGCAAGTCCAAAATCACCTGCTCAAAAGGAAAATTTAAAAAAGAGGAACTAGAATAGGCTTTTGGACTTGGTAATATGGTTCTGAATTCAACACTGAAATACAGGTCAAGCTTAATTACCAAGGCGAACATCTTCATCTTTGGTAAGAAAGATATTCGAACACTGCCAAAAACCGCTAAAAATGTCAGTCCCAACGAATCATTCAATATAATAAACAAGAGCCATTAAATAAACAAAAAACTTCATCTACATAAGATGCCTACTTTGAGATCCCGGTGAAGAACGAAATTAGAATGCAGATACTCAACAGCCAATAGTAGTTGAGAAAACCATTTCAACAATTTCTGCACATTGAACATCATTAAAAAATATCATTTGAATCAATCAAAATATTGAAGGGAAGCAAAAATAAATAATAAACAAAAAGTTATATTAGTAAAAAGAATTTAAACCTCCTCAGGAAAATACTGGCCGTTCGCCTTTTTCATTAGCTCAGCCCTGAAACGTTTCAAAGAATGATAGGTAATAAACAAAAGTGAAAAGAACGTCTTATATGAGATTACAACCGCATAGAACTTTCCAGTTAAAAAGGAAAAAAAAAAAATAATAATAATTGCTGAGTGCTTACATGTCACCACCCTCACAGTAGCCAGTAACTATGCAAACATAGCATCCCTGCTTTTATCGTTTACCAACAAAGAGCTCAGCAACAAACAAAAGGATAACAATAAAAGAAAAGGAAGCAAAGGGCCAATGCTCCTTAAAATTACCTTCTCTACCCAAGCTTCCTTGAACTCTACAATGTAAAGATGCTGTATACGTGAAATTAATGCCATCTGCGTATTTCAAATAGCCAGCAAAAACATCTTTCATGTACAATCCAAGCATTTAGTAAAACATGCAGACACATCAACAGAAGAAAATATAAAAAAAGCAATTAATCACAACTTGCTAGTCGAGACTCCAAATTGTCAAAATAGATTATAGGACAAAGTAAACCGCCATTCCTTGTTTAACCCGAGTAAAATTTCAGACAGTCACAGTGAATTTCAGAGTTAAATATACATTATTCTCAAAAATGTAATCAAGAACCACAAAAGTGTAACAAAATTTATCAACTATGTACAAAGATACATCAATCCTGACAAAGTTAAGTGAACTTAAAAGACAATCACTTTACCTCTTGATGAGCCGATCTCCGGCAACGTTCTGTTTGGCGAGCTAATCGAATCTTCTTCAGCACATACCTAATTCACAGTTCAGGAAAAAAACAAAATTATATACAAATAAATCGATAAATTAAAAACCATTATTCCATAAAATCCCCAAATCCTCGGAATTAACTTTATCTCTAAAAAATACATACTTTTTCCTTTCCAGCTTGTGATTAACCAAAATGGCGGCCCCAAAAGCTCCACGGCCAATCTGCTCCATGATCTCATACTGATCCATTCTTGATTCCATCACTAACCAATTTTGACGCCTCTTATAACTGTATCTAAACTCTCGATCAACAATGCTGACACCTTTGACAAATGCAAACCCTGTAACTACAATCCCTAGAAAATCTCACTATATACCTGGCACATTAAGAACTCCGATTATACCACCAAGTCAAAAATGCTGGAAAGCACAAACAACCAAGCACATAGTACAACAAAATGCGATGAAATTAACCTAATCCTCGGATTTTCTCCTCCTCCTCCACCGCCATTCGCGGATCAATCTTGAATAAGCCACAGATTAACATAAACTTCAGAAAAAAGGTCAAAACAGGTCAACAAAAAATGGGCAATGGATTTTCTTGAAATGAATCCAGACAATGATGAAATGTAATCAATATTCTCCTTCTAGCAACTCAACAAAGGGATTCAATTTGTTTTATGGATTTTTCCAAGAAAGTACATAAACATCTGATGTTTGTGCGTGTGAGTTTGTGTTTGTTTTGTTCTGTGCTCCTCTTTTCTTTTCTTCCTCTTTTTCTTTTCTTTTGGAGGTTATTGCTCAACTCTGATGAGTGGAAAAAATGATTGCTATTAGTGTTGTGTTTATTTAATAATTAACTACAAGTTTAGCAGTTAATCATGGTTAGTCTTTTTNGGGGGTTGAATGCTGATATCACAACTTCAAAGTAATTCTTTCTTTTTTATATTTATTTGTTAGTATTCTTTTTTCATTTATTTTCAATTGGATAAATGGATAATTGTTTTTCTATTATAGTTTCCAGATTTTGAAACTTGCAACATAATCTTCACATATTAAAAGTTTTACTCTCACAAACATGTAAAACTATTCTCTTTATAGGCATGAATAAAATGTGAATTTTAAAATGTGGAAAAGGGTGTAGTCAATTTTATAAAGATAAAAGTTATATCACATGCAATAGTCCAAGTTGATTTTTATTAATCCTAAATGCCTATCCTATTCCAATAGCCCAATCAAGTTATAATAACATCCAACTAACTGTCTATTAGTTTAGAGTGGCCAATTATTCTACTATTGACTAGGATCTAATTACATTATGAACATAATTGATAAATAAATACATTATATATACTTATGTAAAGGTAAAATATATCAAATTGGCTAAGGGGGAGAGGGATTTAATGCACCAACCATACTACAACATATGTGAGGTGTCAATCAGAAGAAAAGGATTCTTTACCTAAATAGAAGGAATGTTTGGCCAAAAATTTAAACTACATTTTATATACACTTTCCAGTTATATTTCCAGATCATAAAATTTAAAAAATAATATTGTCTATAATGTTTACAGATTGACTAGTGTACTGTTCTTTGTATTTTAGTTTCTTATTTAACTTTTTGGTGCACTATCATTCTATTAATTTTCTACTTTATAATGAGAGTCATTAGCAGTAAAATAGGCAGTGTATTTAGTCAAATAACAGTTTGAATTTGGTCAAAGACACAATCCTGTTGTAGTTTCTTTTACCATATGAAGTCATTAAATAATTAAGACACTAATATATGCAACAAGTATATGATAACAACATAATGTTGTTAATTATACTTGTATAAAGACAATTGACATTTTGCATGCAGGTTGGTGCCCCCTCAAGTTTTTATAAATAATAAGTTGAAATAATATTTTCCTAACATTTGAATAATACTATAAATCAACAAATATACATAGAGTTAAATTAGTTAGGCAAGCTTTCATATCAAAGTGTATGATTTTGTTGTCTTACAACAAATCTTAATCTCAAATTCAATGTTGGGACTTTCTCTGCCAGTTTATGATACTTAGGAAGATTCTCACTGAATTTGAGACCAATTCAAGCATATATTAAAGTTTTTAATAAAAACATGTTCCAAATTATTTCCTTTCTTATTATTTCATGTATGTGTTGGTAATTTTGAGTATGTTTTAGCCATTTGCCGACAGATCCCAGCTATTTTCATGATTTGAAATCCAAACGATACAAGTTACAGATGGGACCAATGCTCATCACAGCCTTGGCTTGGGAACCATTATAAATCTTAATTCAAAACATTTGATTCAACAATAATTTGCAGTTTTATGGGTTTCAGTAGAGGGTCTCAGGCCGAGGATCAATCATTGAGGAAAAATGTAGCATATGAAGG